GAAGGAAGGAAGGAAGGAAGGAAGGAAGGAAGGAAGGAAGGAAGGAAGGAAGGAAGGAAGGAAGGAAGGAAGGAAGGAAGGAAGGAAGGAAGGAAAAAAATATGAAGAAAGTAGAGAAAGTAAAAAAAAGAACCAAAGGAGGCAAAGAAATTAAAGAAAAGAAGCAAAGGAAGCAAAGGAAGTTAAAAAAAAGAAAGTAAAGGATGTAAAGGAAGGGAAGGAAAGAAAATCAGGAAAGGAAAGAAAGTAAAGAAAGTACAGAAATTAAAGAAAAGAAGGAAAGAAAGTTAAAAAATTAAAGAAAATAAAGAAAGTAAAGGATGTAAAGAAAGTAAATGAAGTAAAATTATTCCTAATTGTGGCACAAAATGTTTCTCAAAATGTTTGTTAAAAATCTCTGTTGTTTTGCCAAATACTGGCAGAGGCTTTTGTGTAATGATTTGAAAATAGAAATGGTGGTTATTAAGAGCTGTGAGGCACATGGGTGAAAATAAACAAATCCACTGGGGTGGAGCTTTCTCAGCCCTTGCAACACAACAACCAGCAGCTAAAAGGACAATTTTAGGACATGAACAGCCCCATACTCAGTGAAATGACAATTTTAGGACATGAACAGCCCCACATTCTGTGAAAGGACAATATGAGGACATAAACAGCCCCACATTCCAGGATATGAACAGCCCCATACTCAGTGAAAGGACAATTCCAGGATATGAACAGGCCCACGTTCAGTGAAATGACAATTTTAGGATGTGAACAGCCCCATACTGAGTGAAAGGACAATTTTAGGATATGAACAGCCCCACATTCAGTGAAAGGACAATTTCAGGACATGAACAGCCCCACACTCCATGAAAAGACAATTTTAGGATATGAACAGCCCCACACTCAGTGAAACCAGAGCTAAGCATTCCCTGCCCAGCAGAGAGGAGCAGCCCAGCACTTACATCTGGAACTATGACAGTGAGTTTGGGATTTAAAGCGTGGTAGACTTTGCCAATGGCTCCTTTGTAACACCAGAAGGGGTTGTAATCCTGGGCGTATTTGGTGGTGGAGTCCCTGGCCGTGGTGAAGATCTTGTACCACACAGTGGCGTTGCTGTAGGTCTCGGGGACACAATGTGGTGGCTGACTGCAAGGAAACAACAATAATGAGCACCCTGAACTGCATTTTCACGTTCAGCCGGGGACTTTTCTTCTCAAAACACGGTTTTAGTTTGGGCCTTGCAAGAAAATAACAAAACCCCAAGTTTAACCRAAAGGGTTTATTAAAAGCCGCATGATTGCTACACTGAAATTAGAATTTAAGTGCATGTTGTTGCACCAAGCCAACATCCCACAGTTTAAYTGGAAAAATACTGGTTTTCCTAAGGCTCCACACAGCCTGGTGCTTCTCCAGGTTGGATGGAACAGTGGCAGGGACTCCAGAGAAGGCCAAGGGGAGAGATTTTGGGGAAAGCAAAGCAGCAACTTCCTTTCCCTTTCCTTTTTCCTTTCCTTTTTCCTTTCCTTTTTCCTTTTCCTTTCCCTTTTCCTTTCCTTTCCTTTCCCCTTTCCTTTCCTTTCCTTTCCTTTCCTTTCCTTTCCTTTCCTTTCCTTTCCTTTCCTTTCCTTTCCTTTCCTTTCCTTTCCTTTCCTTTCCTTT